GTTTTCTGAGATGTATGGTTGAAATTCAACTTTTGTGAAGAAATTCTACACAGATTTACATGTATTTCAAATATGCACACTTTGTCCGGACCGATGGCATTTATTATCGTTGCTGAAGTACTTCAAATCTTCACTAGTGACCTCCAAAAGCTTCGCAAGCTTACTGATCACATTGAAGAAATTGAAGAAGATACAAAAGTGTCGTTAGATAGTTACCATCGTGAAGGGCCTTTCGATGCCAGTTTAACATGGGTAAATATCACTGGGTCTGTGCAGGCGTATGTTACAGTTTCTAGCGTGTGCGCGTTAAAGAGATAACAACTGTTCGTGTTGGCCAAAATACTGATTTTCCAGGGGTAACCGACAACTTTCCCCATACTTACCAATGGTTAATGAATTCCGACATTCAAAGTTAGCCTTTTTTTCTAAAAAAACTTAGCTTACGGTCAACCTGCGGTCGGTGAGTAACAACATCTACTCTAATAAATAAATTAATTTTTGGATATTTCGTTTCTTTTATTTTATGCAGGGTGTAGACAGAATAGACTACGAGAAGAATGATGACCTTTTCTTTACCTGGGGGGTGGGCAACGGGATAGACGCCTACGTCGTTGACACCGGAATTAACCCTGATCATATGGACTTCGGGGGAAGAGTGTCGGCAGGTAAAGGAAATTTAACTGGAAGAACATGAGAGAGGGAGAGAGAGAGATGTGAGAGAGATTTGGTGGTGTTGGTTTGTATAATAATAATTAAGGTTTTTAAAGAGGGTAAAACATATTAAGTGTATATACTTATCTTACACATGGCCCTCTGAGGGGTTAAAATAAAATATTGTGTAAATGAATAAAAGAAATATATTAATCTAATCAAATGAATATTGTAATAAAACTGAAACAAATTAAATAATAATAGTAATACGAATAAAGCAAGCAAACAAACAAAAACATTATGTTAGTAAAAATCTAAAAGCTATATAACTTAATAAGTATATACATGAAATTTATGTTTGATTATTTTAATAATCAAACATAAAGTTTATGTATATACTTATTAAGTTTAAAAAACGATTTTTGAAAGTATCCGAGACTTTGAAGTGTTTAATTTCAGAGTACATGCAGTTATATATTTTAATCGAAATCCATATTGGACATTTAGTTAGTATATCTTTAAGTCTTGGTAAATAAAGACTCCCTTATTACTTGATCTTGGGATTCTGCCTGTAGTGTCTCCAAGGTTGTAGTACTCAGTATGCCCCCAATATATTTTGGTGAAAGTCCATGTAAAGATTTTAAAAAACTAGTGTTGGTTTCTGAAATTCTATCCGTTCATAAATTGTTTGCCAGTTTAGTTTCTTGAATAATTTATTTGATGGATGGTTCTTGGCTTCCTCTTGTGTGATATCGAGAATGATTCTTGCACCACGTTTTCGAAATATGCACAAGACAGAAATCAGAAGATGGCTTTTCTCACCAAAGTTCTGTGAATTGTATTTCAGGGTGGCACGCAGGTTCATTTGCCGATAGTAAAGACTACATGGGGCATGGTACCCATGTGGCCAGTACCTTAGGTGGCGCCACCTATGGAGTAGCCAAGGAGGTGAACCTCATCCCCGTCAAGGTATGCAGCCACTCTTGTACAGAGTCGGAGATCCTGGATGGGCTAAACTGGGTAAAGGCACAGGTACTACTATACAAGCGTCTGTCAGTAATAAATATGTCCCTCAGTGGTCCGAAACGCCCGTCCTTCAACAACGTTGTGAACGCGGTAATCGATGCAGGCATCCCAACGGTAGTCAGTGCTGGTAATAGCTACGGGGGCGATGCATGTGCCAGATCCCCTGCGAGCGTAGGCAGGGCCCTCACGGTTGGAGCCACCCGGATAGGTGATTTCGTGGCTGGATTTAGTGACATCGGACCGTGCGTCGATATTTACGCGCCAGGGGAGAACATCAAGGCCGCTTACTATGGAAACAACCACGGTTCGACCCTGAAAAGTGGGACCTCAATGTCCGCACCTCACGTCGCCGGTGCTGTCGCGGGCATGCTGCAGGTCGTTCGCGATGCTGGGTACTATACAGAACCGTCGCAAGACGTTGTGGACATGATTAACCGTTACATAATCAAGTACGCGGAGAAGGGTACCGTGCTTGGACTCCCAGGGTTGAACAACAACAACGTAATGCTTCAGGTCTCCGGTCTGTATACTGTGCAGACTTAATCAGGCGTGCCTGAAAATACGCCCTTGCTAAAAATGATGGAGTATCCCCGACAAAACATTACATCTTCGTTTTAAATATGTTAAAACTAAGTCGCAAGTGGTTCACTGTAATTTCATCTTCTTCCTTCAATTTACATTATACACTGTATTTGATAATTTTTTTTATCCCTTTCCGTTCTTAAAGGCAATTAGCTATATATTTAATAAATTATCGGCAATTTATAGGGAAGAGCAATTGTATTGTTGAAAAAACATTCATTGGAGTGTCATTCAAAAGTAAACTTAGACCAAATATTTCGTCTCAGAATGCTGCCGTCTTGAACATGGAGGGCGCCATTTATACCTCAGATACCAGCTCAACTAGTTTGTTGATGAGTCGCCAGCTGAGATTAGCACCCCGACTACAAAAGGACGCATCAATTTGCTTTTGCTCGCGTTCGCCAAATCCTCAAAAATTGACCAAGATCCCCTTCAGGCTTAAGGACGAGGCATTGTCAATCTTCGTTTATGCTGAACAAAATTGACTTGCGGCCGCAAACACTTGTGACTGCCCCGCCATTCTGCTCAGATCTGTTACACGGGGTCCACAACTCGAACCCATATGTTGTATGCTCCTTTAGAAATTTTGACTTCCTTGACTTTAAGAACGTTTTTCGGTCATTTTTACAGCCAGGTACATCAAAATTTTGTGACAATTTTTACACAATACTTTTTTGGTCAACTCACACAGTACTCTGAAACAAAAATTGTCTCTAATTTCCGAAATATTCCATCATTTTAGCAAGCGTGTGTGTGTGTGTGTTGCTTTGAATTTACAGCAGTTCCCAATAGAACTGCGCCAACGGAATTATGGATGGAAACAATTTCCACAGCAATGACTGTTCAGAATCAAACACGAACTTCTAATATTTTTTTTAGATTCAAGATAAGGTATAAAACGAGATAAAAAAAGACACTTATGAGCTTTTGAATACCGTAAGTGGAGTGTCGTCTTTGAAACCACGATTTTCCACAGTTGCATGGAAAAAATACGGTACATTTCGGACGCAGTACAATGTTAAGGTGCAGGTGTGCTTAAATTTTGACAACAGGTATTTAAATATATAATATGCTGAAAAAGGTTGCACGTGATCTATCATACACGAATTTCCACAGTTAGCGCAGCAGCCTGTTTGCATTAACACATCTTCACATGGACAACTAAAAGATAGAAATGCTACTCAGAGAAATTTTCCTCTTGCAAATTCAAATGTGTGCTCTATCTAGCAGGCGAGATGCTATCTTTGCTTTTGTCTTTTTATTCAACTGCTAATAAATTCAAGCATTCACGCAAAGTGNAGTTTTCTGAGATGTTTGTTTGAAATTCAACTTTTGTGAAGAAATTCTACACAGATTTACATGTATTTCAAATATGCACACTTTGTCCGGACCGATGTCATTTATTATCGTTGCTGAAGTACTTCAAATCTTCACTAGTGACCTCCAAAAGCTTCGCAAGCTTACTGATCACATTGAAGAAATTGAAGAAGATACAAAAGTGTCGTTAGATAGTTACCATCGTGAAGGGCCTTTCGATGCCAGTTTAACATGGGTAAATATCACTGGGTCTGTGCAGGCGTATGTTACAGTTTCTAGCGTGTGTGTTTTGAGGAGATAACAACTGTTCGTGTTGGCCAAAATACTGATTTTCCAGGGGTAACCGACGACTTTCCCCATACTTACCAATGATTAATGAATCGATTCCGACATCAAAGTTAGCCTTTTTTCGAAAAAAAACTTAGTTTACGGTCAACCTGCGGTCGGTGAGTAACAACATCTACTCTAATAAATAAATTAATTTTTGGATATTTCGTTTCTTTTATTTTATGCAGGGTGTAGACAGAATAGACTACGAGAAGAATGATGACCTTTTCTTTACCTGGGGGGTGGGCAACGGGATAGACGCCTACGTCGTTGACACCGGAATTAACCCTGATCATATGGACTTCGGGGGAAGAGTGTCGGCAGGTAAAGGAAATTTAACTGGAAGAACATGAGAGAGAGAGAGAGAGAGATGTGAGAGAGATTTGGTGGTGTTGGTGTGTATAATAATAATTAAGGTTTTTAAAGAGGGTAAAACATGTTAAGTGTATATACTTATCTTACACATGGCCCTCTGAGGGGTTAAAATAAAATATTGTGTAAATGAATAAAAGAAATATATTAATCTAATCAAATGAATGTTGTAATAAAACTGAAACAAATTAAATAATAATAGTAATACGAATAAAGCAAGCAAACAAACAAAAACATTATGTTAGTAAAAATCTAAAAGCTATATAACTTAATAAGTATATACATGAAATTTATGTTTGATTATTTTAATAATCAAACATAAATTTTATGTATATACTTATTAAGTTTAAAAAAACGATTTTTGAAAGTATCCGAGACTTTGGAGTGTTTAATTTCAGAGTTGATGCAGTTATATATTTTAATCGAAGTCCATATTGGACATTTAGTTAGTATATCTTTATGTCTACCAATTGGTAAATAGAGACTCCCTTATTACTTGTTCTTGGGATTCTGCCTGCAGTGTCTCCAAGGTTGTAGTACGCAGTATGTCCCCAATATATTTTGGTGAAAGTCCATGTAAAGATTTTAAAAAACTAGTGTTGGTTTCTGAAATTCTATCCGTTCATAAATTGTTTGCCAGTTTAGTTTCTTGAATAGTTTATTTGATGGATGGTTCTTGGCTTCCTCTTGTGTGATATCGAGAATGATTCTTGCACCACGTTTTTGAAATATGCACAAGACAGAAATCAGAAGATGGCTTTTCTCATCAAAGTTCTGTGAATTGTATTTCAGGGTGGCACGCAGGTTCATTTGCCGATAGTAAAGACTACATGGGGCATGGTACCCATGTAGCCAGTACCTTAGGTGGCGCCACCTATGGAGTAGCCAAGGAGGTGAACCTCATCCCCGTCAAGGTATGCAGCCACTCTTGTACAGAGTCGGAGATCCTGGAAGGGCTAAACTGGGTAAAGGCACAGGTTCTACTATACAAGCGTCTGTCAGTAATAAATATGTCCCTCAGTGGTCCGAAACGCCCGTCCTTCAACAACGTTGTGAACGCGGTAATCGATGCAGGCATCCCAACGGTAGTCAGCGCTGGAAATATCTACGGGGGCGATGCATGTGCCAGATCCCCTGCGAGCGTAGGCAGGGCCCTCACGGTTGGAGCCACCCGGATAGGTGATTTCGTGGCTGGATTTAGTGACATCGGACCGTGCGTCGATATTTACGCGCCAGGGGAGAACATCAAGGCCGCTTACTATGGAAACAACCACGGTTCGACCCTGAAAAGTGGGACCTCAATGTCCGCACCTCACGTCGCCGGTGCTGTCGCGGGCATGCTGCAGGTCGTTCGCGATGCTGGGTACTATACAGAACCGTCGCAAGACGTTGTGGACATGATTAACCGTTACATAATCAAGTACGCGGAGAAGGGTACCGTGCTTGGACTCCCAGGGTTGAACAACAACAACGTAATGCTTCAGGTCTCCGGTCTGTATACTGTGCAGACTTAATCAGGCGTGCCTGAAAATACGCCCTTGCTAAAAATGATGGAGTATCCCCGACAAAACATTACATCTTCGTTTTAAATATGTTAAAACTCAGTCGTAAGTGGTTCACTGTAATTTCATCTTCTTCCTTCAATTTACATTATACACTGTATTTGATAATTTTTTTTTATCCCTTTCCGTTCTTAAAGGCAATTAGCTATATATTTAATAAATTATCGGCAATTAATAGGGAAGAGCAATTCTATTGTTGAAAAAACATTCATTGGAGTGTCATTCAAAAGTAAACTTAGACCAAATATTTCGTGTCAGAATGCTGCCGTCTTGAACCTGGAGGGCGCCATTTATACCTCTAGATACCAGCTCAACTAGTTTGTTGATGAGTCGCCAGCTGAGATTAGCACCCCGACTACAAAAGGACGCATCAATTTGCTTTTGCTCGCGCCCAGTACGCCAAATCCTCAAAAATTGACCAAGATCCCCTTCAGGCTTAAGGACGAGGCATTGTCAATCTTCGTTTATGCTGAACAAAATTGACTTGCGGCCGCAAACACTTGTGACTGCCCAGCCATTCTGCTCAGATCTGTTACACGGGGTCCACAACTCGAACCCATATGTTGTATGCTCCTTTAGAAATTTTGACTTCCTTGACTTTAAGAACGTTTTTCGGTCATTTTTACAGCCAGGTACATCGAAATTTTGTGACAATTTTCACACAATACTTTTTTGGTCAACTCACACAGTACTCTGAAACAAAAATTGTCTCTAATTTCCGAAATATTCCATCATTTTAGCAAGCGTGTGTGCGTTGCTTTGAATTTACAGCAGTTCCCAATAGAACTGCGCCAACGGAATTATGGATGGAAACAATTTCCACAGCAATGACTGTTCAGAATCAAACACGAACTTGTAATATTTTTTTAGATTCAAGATAAGGTATAAAACGAGATAAAAAAAGACACTTCTGAGCTTTTGAATACCGTAAGTGGAGTGTCGTCTTTGAAACCAAGATTTTCCACAGTTGCATGGAAAAAATACGGTACATTTCGGACGCAGTACAATGTTAAAGATGCAGATGTGCTTAAATTTTGACAACAATATAACATGGTGTAAAAAGGTTGCACGTGATCTATCATACACGAATTTCCACAGTTAGCGCAGCAGCCTGTTTGCAATAACACATCTTCACATGGACAACTAAAAGACAGAAATGCTACTCAGAGAAATTTTCCTCTTGCAAATTCAGATGTGTGCTCTATCTAGCAGGCGAGATGCTATCTTTGCTTTTGTCTTTTTATTTAACTGCTAATAAATTCAAGCATTCACGCAAAGTTATAATGTTCATATTCCTCTAAATCGACACTGATTTTGCCATTTGTTAACTGCTGTTCAAGTGAAAACCACAAAATATGTTATATTTATAGTGCATTTCATTTCATAAATCCTCACACAACATCGCCATTCATTATTAATGGTTGCACAGCTGATTAAACGGAGACGCTGTTAATTGGCTAGAAGTCTGTTTTGTAGCATATTGCGTCATGAATCCTGGAGAGTTTGCCCGCGTTTGTCCAATATTTTGGGGGTTGATTTAAAACTAAAAAAAAAAAAAAGACATGGAACCTGAAAGAGAAAAAATCACCCGTAGGATTATCGAGATAGAAAAGTCTTAAAGGTGGGGGTGATGTCTGACATTACCATTATTACGTTGATTTCTGATGTTGACTGGGAGCACGTATATTCTTACTTGTATCAGGTCCATGCATGGTAGGCCCGACGAGTTATTATATTTAGAGCCAGTTGCATTTGCCTGTACTTCATCGACATTATCTGAATTATCTATTTTCACTCTCTGATAAACAATTCCATGTTCGCCGAAAATCATGTCAGTTTGCATGAGCTGGGCGATAATGGTGGCAATGAAATGCACCGTTAAGCATGAATACACACACACACACACACACACACACACACACACACACACAGAGTTTCAGATGTAGAACCTATCGGAACGCTAGGAACCTAGTCCGCTCCCCATCACTACATCTGAGGAATGAGGCTATATATGTGAATGGCCTCTATTCTCACCACCTTGATAGCCTCATTTTCTCATTGTCTCACCACCAGGATAGTCTCATTACCTGATGAAGACATTCTCCTAGATATCGAAATATTGGATGAAAAAACTTTTTCAATATTAAGCTGTTGACTAAAGAAAAATTTCTTCATTCTTATGACACAACACAGCTGATGAAATTCTTCTCTGTCCATTAAGGAAATTTACACCAGAAAGTTCTTATTCTCATATTTCAGCTAAGTTTTTTTGTATTGTTACCAACTGTCATGTTCTTTATATTTTGTGCATCTGTACGTATACAATATCATTAAACGCCCAAGCGCGTATTATTTATTTAATGCACTGACATCAAATTTTTCTTCGTGGTTAGATCACCAAGGTGACATTGAAGAAAATTACTTAAGTCGCTGTTTCCCTAGCTGTGACATAATCGGGCTCTTTCGTATCTCGAGATTGGTAAGAGAAGTGATCCACGGGACGTTACTTGTGAAGATAAAATACATTTCTCAAGGCCTACAAACGTGGAACTGACATTTTGGGTGAAGAACTGCAATGATGAAATTGCCTTTGCTTTTCGCCTTCGTGCTTTTTTCGCTCATCGCGTCAGAGACGGTGTATGCCAATGAAACTGAGGAAAAGCTGGGAAAAAATCCGAAGAACATGAAAAGAGATACCATAGATGAAATTTATATGGAGATGAGGCAGGACGGACTATTCTTCGAGGAGGACGGCAACGGTAAGTATAAAAGATATGATAAATAAATGAAACTTGTATCTCACTCAGGTATGTATTGAAAGAGGGGGGGGGGCGGTCAAACGAACCACTCTTTTGTCGGATAAAAGGTCCGCTGTGGATAAAATTTGATATGGGTGCACGAAGATTTCATGGTAAAAGGTCCACTTTTTCAAAAAAAGAATTCCCCCTTTGAAATTGCTTGGTATTATTTCTAGCCTCATTCAAACTACGACAAAATCTGTCATACTGGAGAAATGCAAGGTTCCCCTCTGTCTGGTATATTTCTCATCATCTCGTTGTTCCTGTTGCAAAAGTTATATTTGTGTGAATTAAATCGGGGAGTTTCCGAAAAAAAAAAAAAAATCGCCTACGTGGAAGTTGACTTATTGAACTATAAAGAAAGAATGTCTCTGTGACAAAGTTGTAAGGCTGTGTTTTATAGAGAGATTAATCCAGATTTAACAGTCTGGGATACGCACAATAAAGTTAAAGGAGTTTGAAAGAATCGTTGCAACTCGGCACAGATTGTCATCACACGGCCCGGCAGTAGGGCTGCTGGTCCCGGGTCCCTTTAGACGGTCTGGAATGTATCTGTGGTGTTATTCAAAAAGCGAAACATCTTCTGTTTTTGCCCCATCACACCGTGTATACACGAGGAGAACTCTGCGTTAGTTTTCAGGTCGGTAGAAGATCTTTGGAACCGTAAGCCCACGTGTGTTGTTTGCCACGTAGTATATTTATTGAACGACTTGTTTTCCTTATGTTACCTTATATATATATATATATATATATATATATATATATATATATATATATAACAAAAATCCACGACTGTCTCAATTTTGATTTAATTTTTAATTTTTACCATGTCTTTACATTAGGTAAGGAGCCTAAATTGTAACGTATGTTCCGGGTAATTTATTTTTAATTTTTATATCGCGTTCAGTCATGGTAAATTATACATGACGTAAGATTGTTTTATAAATATTTAAACTGTTACTCAGTGGACTTTGCGTCATGGCAAATACTATGCAATGTATGTTCCCCAGATAAATTGTCAGAAAGTTTCATCTTACCCTAGTACTTGGTGCAATAAGAAACAGGGTTTTCTGTTGCTGACCGAAAATTTATTCCATGATAGTTTGACATTTCTGATACAATATTTGGACCACGAGCGGAAAATAGTTTATCTAATGCTTATTTTACTGTCAGTAGGGTGTAGTGAGCTTCCCTTAACTATGTATGGAAGTGCGTTGATTTGTACATTTTTACCCATAGATAGTTAACGCGTGTTTAGGCCTATTTTTGCCTTTCATGTCATAAATATTCTCTAGACCCAAAATGTGATAGCGTTCTCTTTTTTCTGGGTGTTCTTCTTCGGTTGGCGACCAGAACCTGGCAATCTTGCCCATGTGCCCGTATGGTTATGAAGTTGTCTGGCTCTCTGAGTGGTTCTTATGAAAAACGCCTATCTTCTGGTAATTTTGCGAGCCAAAACTCTCTCCTGTCAACTGTGTATTCAAAATTCTACCCCCTGTCTTGGAAACCACATTTTTTTTTATAAAATCATAAGAGGTGTTGAAACATTTCACTGGTCACGCTAGAAAGGTCAACACACTGCTACTCACTTCCCCAATTTACACTATGGCCGGTTGCCCAATAATCACGAAAAGTACTATTGAACTTAAGTCTATATGTACCCTTATAACAATGAATATTAATGTGATATATATGACACTTTTTTGATACGGAAGTAAGAAATTGTTTATCAGAGATTCATCATCTTTATAGTGCATTTCATGTGTTGCTAATATTTAATGTCATATTTCTGTCATAATGGAAATTTAATGCCTGAAATGATTTTTTCATTTGTCCAGCCCTTCATTGAATAACCAACTGTTAAACTTACCAATTTCATAACATCCAAAAGTAATAAAAATATTTAATTAAGTAATGCTATGTGCCATGAATGTAATTTAATTTATTTTAGCTAAGTAGGTCGGTTAAAACTGCCTCTTATAATTTTATAATCAGTTTGCAGGTCAAGTTAATAAGCGTGAGTATAGTCCCACAAGGTTTCTCAATAAAATTAGAAGCCATATTTTTCATTCATTATCATCATCATCAAGTGTCAGGCCAGGTGAAGGCATCAACGATCTCGGTCCTCCAGTTAACTCTATTTTCAGTCGATTGGATGAGCTCGTTATTGTACAGTTGTTGATTCGTTGCGTAGGCATCAAGCCTATCAATGTATGATGTTCTTTGTCTTCCTCTACTTCTTCTTCTTTCAATTTTTCCACAAAGTACCAGTTTTTCTACTCCGTCCTTTCTGTCCAGGATAACTTTTCTGTCCAGGATATTCTCAACATATCTTCGTATTTACCACATTTCGATAGCTTCCGGTTTCTTCTTAGTTTTGTTCGAGATATTCCAGCATTCACAATCATACAAGAGTGCTGACCACACGTAGGGTTTCAGTGTTCTTATTTTTGTGTTGACGGAGATGGATTTTGTTTACAAAGTGTTAAAAATTATATTAAGAAATGGTTCTGTACAATTGACCTTGTTCAATCAGTTCAAATTATCACCTTTTGTCCAGAAGCCACTGAGCACTCTCTCTGGAAGTCGTCTTTATCATAAGTATAATTGAATCATAGTGATTGCTCAAGTAACCCTCCTGGGAAACCAATGTACTATCTAATTGCACAGGCCCGTAGCCAGGAGGAGTCGAATGACCAGACCCCTTTTCCGAATAAAAGTTCCATTCTGGGTAAAATTTGATCCAGGTACACGAAGGTTTCATTGTAAAAGGTCCACTTTTCCAGAAAAAGAACCCCCTTTTGGAATTGCTGGCTACGGGCCTGTTGCATATCTGAAGACATTTAAAGATAGAAATAAAGGGAAGGGTCAGTAGTCGGTAGTTGATGAGGTTAAAAGTTTGCTGACCTCTAGAAAGCAAAACATGTCGTTATATATATATATATATATAAGTACCCCGAGTTTCTGTTGTAGAACCTATTACAAAGCCTCATATGCATTTACCAATTGATGGGTGTATGATAGATAGGTGGAGGAGAGTCCTCTGAAAATTCATATATATATCACTTTGCATTTCCAGTGCCGCTGATGTTTGCTCCGGAAAATACTGTCGTTCCCAATCAGTACATTGTAAAAATGCAACCTAGTGGCGATTACAACCAAAGTAGGTGTACCACCTTGAAATATATATATATATATATAAACAATTCAGTGCAATTAATTCAGTTTTATACCAATACAGCAGGAGTCTTATATAGTTTAATACATTATCACCGGAAATCGGTTAAAAAGTATCTTTCCCTCATATGTGATATATATTTTACGTACCCATTTTACAGTTACAATGTACAGTTTTGCACTCCTTACAGTTCTCAGCACCCTGGGTGGAAGAGGCTCCCCAAAAAGACTGGATATCAGTGAGGGCATCACCTACGTTATACTTAAGGATATAAATGACAGGTATTGGTATTTCTTTCTTTCACTCATGCCTTTTCCATTAAGAACTCTGCTTCAGACAATAACGATCGTTTAATTTTGATATAAGATTCATCATTCGAATTTTGATTTTTACCTTATATTTCTTACAATTGTAATTATATTTTATTAATAATTTTATCTACTGTCATTATGCAGGTACCGTACTGTAGTGCAAGTTTTCTAAGATGTATGTTTAAAATTCACATGTATATCAAATATGCATATTTAGTCCGGACTTATGCTATTTATTATCGTCGCTGAAGTACTTTTGATTTTCACTAGTGACCTTCAAGAGCTTCGCAAGCTTACTGACCACATAGCTGAAATTGAACAAGATACAAAAGTGTCGTTAGATACACACCATCGTGAAGGGCCTTACGATGCCAGTTTAACATGGGTAAATATCACTGGGTCTATGCAGGCGTATGTTACAGTCTGTATGCGTGAGTGTGTCGATGAGATAACAAATTATGTTTCATGGCTTCTTTTCTGAGTACGCTACACTGTTCGCTACACTGAACGCTGTGCAGTCTCTCTCTCCTGATAGCTAGTGGCCATTTTTATCAAAGTTGTGTCTTTAAAAAAGATATAAGACCACTGACCTCCGCAAAGGAAAAAAATCATTCACATGGGTGATTGCAAGCTATATATCTGTTCATCAGAACCTCAATTTCCATCCTTGCATAACTCTGGGGTCATTGGGAGTACGAGAAATGTACTCTTTTTGATGTATTTCACCCTAAAAAAATCATAATTATTACTTTCAACAATTGCTAAAGGTATTTTATTGCAAAATAGTGAAAGCTGAAACGGAATTCAATACAGGATGTCAAAAAGTTCAATAACAAAATCGAATGCACAAGTACATTCAAAAATGACACTTTGACAACACCTTTCTTTTGGCACAAAAAGGTAAATCTACATTTCTGTTCACGAATGCAACAAATTGCCACACATGACATCTCTTTTTTCTACATTGGTTATCTGGAACACTTTGCAAACGACCATCTTGCGTGAAATGTAGCTCAGGATAAACGTGGAATTTACACTTCCTTCTTGACTTCTTTAACTCAATATCACATATTCTTGCAGAGGCTTTATCGCTCACCTCTCCGTTGGTGACAGTTTTGGATTGTTTTTTTTTTTCATGAGTCCCTTGAGATTAGGCTTTCCCTGGGGTTGACTGATTCTAATTATTTTTCACATTGTAATTTCTGCTAAATGTATCAACTCCTAGAACATTAGAATGAAGAAGTTAAAACTGAGGCAAATGATATATTATCATCAAGAATGTATGGTACTTTGGAATTTTAGTGTGCTTCTGAGTTTTTCCAGTGTCTCTGGGTTTGGACAATTTCAATATTCTACATCGTAACTTCAGCTACCACTCCTTCGGTCATTTGAGTAAAGAAGTAAAAGCTTTTTGGGGATTGATAGACCATGGCCATAATTTATGTGGGGCTACTCCGGAGGGGGGGGGGGGGGGGGG